AGAGAGCAGAGACAGGGTGCAGCCACAGATTGTTTTCCCCCAAAACTGTTATGACAATGTTCAAATATATTAAAAAAAATTACAAAGAATTGTATAGGAAGCATCCACCAACTCACCACCTGGGTTCTACTTTTTGTTATTAAATAAATATTAACCACCTGGGTTAATATTTTGTTACATTTTCTTGATCACTTATCTGTCGATCCATCTACCTGCTATTCAATTGATCAATCCCTTTTAATATTTTCAGGCATTTGAAAGTAAATTGCCTTTATATGTCTTTATACGTTATGCCTAATAGTGCAGCAGGGATATTATTAGCTAGAGCTCAATATTTGCTAACAGTTTTCCTTTGCAGGTACAACTTCTTATCAGTGAAGTGTACAAATACTAGGAGTGCCATTTCATTAATTTTGACAAATGCAAACTTGTGTCCAAGACATTGAAGCTTCGTCATGTGTTCGCAGTTCATCCCTGACCCTTCCCCCAGAAGCAATCTTTGTTTTGATTTTTTTAACCCTGTATCACTTTGACTTGTATAACTTTATGTTAGTGGAACCATGGAGGAGAATCATTTTCATGTGAGATGTAGTTCACACAGTGTAATAGTTCTAAGATTCTTCCGTGCTACAGGTATAAGTAAGTGACTTGTCACTTTTTTTTCTTGCTGAGGGAGGAGTGTTTCATTGTATGGATATACCATGTTTATACGCTTCCCTGCTACGGGATACCTGAGGCTGCTTACAGTTTGGGGCTATAATAAATAAACCTGTTAGGAATATATCTCAACTCTCTATCAGTCTTTGTTGTATACATTTGCATTCATTTCTCTTGGGTAAATACGTAGATATGGAATTGCTGAGTCATAGGGTAGGTGTATATTTAGTTTTCTAGAAAACTGTCAATTTTACAAAGTAGTTTTACTATTTTACACTCCTACCGACAGTGTTTGAGAATCCAAGGATACTGGCATTTAGTGTATTGGTCTTTTTATTTTAGTTTCTGGTGGCTACATAGTAATATCTCACAGTGGTTCTCATTTCATTTTAATTTATTGTCTAATGATGTTGAACACTTGGCCATGGTCTTACTGGCCATTCATAGATAACCCTTTGTGAAATGTCTCTTCGGATCTTTTGTTTTTAAAATTGAGTTGTTCGACATTGAGCTGTAGAAGACCTTTATGTACGTGTTGTAAGACTTTTTCCAGATATGTTTGCAAATATTTTCCCAGTCTGTGGTTTACCTATTTATTTTTTTAACAGTGTCTTTTCATCATTAGAGGTTTTTTAAAAGTTGATAATATATCAGTTTATTCTTTTATAGTTAGCACTTCTGTGTCCTGGTTAAAAGAACCTTTGCCTTTACCAAATTACAAAGATATTCTGTTTTCATTGAGTAGCTTTATAGTTTTAGTTTTATGTTTAGAACTGTGATAAGTCTGAAATTAATTTTTGTGTGTGAAGTAAGGTAGGGATCCAAGTTCATTTTTTTCCTCATATAGATATCCAACTATTTGAGCATATTTATTGAAACAATTTTCATATACTTGCAAGTTGATACATATAAACAATTTTATTTTCCTCATTGTATTATCTTGGTAACTTTGCTGGAATCAAATAATTTTATAAGCGTGCCTGTACTTGTAAGCTTTTTGTTGTTTACTGATTATTTGTCTACCCTTCTGTCAGTTTTATACTATCTTGAATATTGTAGTTTTACAGTGAGTATAGTAAGGGCTTCTCTCCTGTTATTCTTTGTTCCAGAATTTCCTCCCCACTTTATAGCTTTTTCTCCAATCTGTTCTCTGGGTCTTCTAGCCAATAAGACTACTGTTTTATATCCAAGTTTTAGCCATCCGATGCAGTAGCCCTGGTGCCTGATGTTTAGCAAAAGCCATAAAGAATGGGAATTTTACCCAGTGTCGTTCCCTTCTTCCAAGTTTACTCTCCCCGCTAAGGTTCTGACTGCTTTTGTTTAGCTCTTCAGTGTCTTCAGGTAGCTGTTTTATATAATTGTCCAGACACAGTTTAAATTTGTTGCCAGAGGGAAGATTGGTCCAGTAGGAGCTGCTACTCCATTACAGAAGTGGTGTAGAGACCGTTTTTAAAAGTCGGACAGAGCAAGCATCTGGCCAGAGATGCACTTAAAGTGAGGAATGGGGAGAGATTTGGTGCAAAGGGAGGCAAGTTTCAAATAAAGGGAGAGGATTCAGTTCACCTCAGTTAGAGAAGGCTTATACTAAAGCCAAAACAGTGCTTGGAAGGACTCCAAGGATATGAACTTGCTAGAATGCTGTTTTTTAAACTGTGAATCATAAAATCAATTTAGCAAGTGGTGTCTGAAAAGTCATTTTTGCTTCTAACCTAACTAAGAACCATAAAACAAGTAGAAAGTAAGATCATTGCATTACTGATGTGCACTTTTAGCCTCAGCTCTCTAGTTAAAGAATAGTCTGTGGAGTCACTGAATTCATACCTTCTCTGTCTGATGTATCATGGACCTTTATTTTCTGTTAGAGTTCTCTTGTAACACAAATGAGCATATAAACAGCACACTTCTCAGTAAACATTAACTATCCCTCAGTAAATAGATCAAACATTTGTTAAAATGATGTCAGGGTCAGTGAAGCACGGGCGGCTTTTGGAGATCCACAGTTTTAAAGAATCCTCAACTGACATCTTTCATGGGGAAGGGGAAGCCTTGAAAATATATTTGCCATTCTGTAACATGCTGTCTCCTCAACAAAGCCCAGAGTTCCTTGTTCCTTGTTCATGAAAAAGGAAGTGACAGAGCACCATCAGCAATGCTCCAAATTGGGATAGAATTAGAACCTTTTCCCTCTTTCTTCCTTTTTTGTTCCTTTTTCTTTTCTCTCTGTCTGTAATCCTTCTTCCAGTCCCTAATACACACACCCATGAGCTCTGGATAAAAGTACAAATTAAGCAATCAGAACTATAACTGTATAAATCAAAGAAAATTAAATAAGTAAAAGGATGCTAATGCATCTTTCAATTCTTAAAATTAGGCAGAGCTCTGGAAATTGGTGATAATGAAGAAAAAGCTCCTTTCAGATTCATTAGGTAATGTTTCCATGATCCAATTTTTCTCTCATTAGAAGAGAGTGTGATAATATCATCATTAGCAGAAGAAGGTTAAGAGAGAACAATAGTACTTCAAAAGACATCATTAGGAGGGTGAAAAAGGCAGGGCACAGTCTAGGGGAAAATATTGGTAACACACGTGTCTGGCAGTGACTTGTAAACAGAATGTATCAAGAATTCCCATGAATCAACAGTAATAAGACAAACAACCTAATGAAACAAGTGGGCAAGAACTTGAAGAGAGTGTCACAAAAGAATATATATCAGTTGCCTAAAAGTACGTGATGGTACACCCTACATCTTTAGCCATCAGGGAAATGCGAATTAAAACCGTAGGAATTAATAAAGAGAAAGAGACTGGCAGTATCAAGTATTGACAAGGACGTGAAGCATTAAATATTCATAGTTTGCTGGTGTGGGTGTGAAAACTGAGTTACAACCACTTGGACAGACACTTTGGCAACTTGTTATAAACAAGTTAAACAGATACTTGTCATTTCAACCTTGAACTTCCACCCCTAGGTATTTACCTAAAGAGAATGAAAATCTATATCCATGAAAAACCCTTGTGTATAGATAGCAGCTTTATTCTTACTAACCAAAAACAAAGAAGCCCAAATGTTCATCAGTGAGAGAACGGATAAACAGATTGTGGTATGTTTACACAGTAGAATAGTACTCATCAATGAAGAGGAATGACCTGCTAATGTACACAACCACATGGAAGAATCTCAGAAACATTATACTGAGTAAAAGAAGCCAGACACGAAAGAGTTTATATTAAATGATTACATTTGCATGAGAGTGTTTAAAAAAATCAAAGCTAATAATATGTTGTGAGAAAAACCAGATCAGGGGTTGCCTAGGGGAGGTGGTTTGACTGCAAAGAGGCATGAGGGATGTTATGGAATGATGGAAATATTCTTTAATAATGGGGTTACATAAGTGACCCAGTTCAAGGAATTGTGTGACTAATGTATGCTTTTCACTGAATACAAACTCTATTTCAAGAAAGTTGCTTTCTTTTGTTTTTTAATTAAAAAATGTTTCAGATCCGGTACTTTAACTACCTTGGCATATGGGAGCTACTACACTTCCCCTCCTCCCAGTGGTGACTCTTCCTAGTAATCTTTGATAACCACTGTCCTGGACAGAGACAGTTTTTAGACTCACAGAATCATAATGCATTGTATTAAATGCATTAAATAGAAATCCCCTCACTAAAACGAAGCACAACACATAGATGGGATACATGGGATGGGATACAGATCCAGGATTCAAACAGCACCATCGGTATATTTGTCTTTGCATTAGAACTCCACAACTACTGTAGAACCTACCCACTTTTTTTTTTTTTTTTTTTAATTTTTTATTTATTTTTGGGACAGAGAGAGACAGAGCATGAACGGGGAGGGGCAGAGAGGGAGACACACAGAATCAGAAACGGCAAGGCCTGTAAATTGAGCCAGCTCCAGAGGCCCCACGTGCCAAGGAATCATGGACCGATCAGCAGAGATCAAAGTGACCTGGCTGAATGTCGCTAAGAATCGACTGCGCCACCCAGGCGCCCCTACCCACCCTCTTCTACCCTTTGCTCCTGCCTTCCATGGTTTCATTTGCCTGACTATAAACCGTAATGGATCTTTGAAAAGTAGGTGTTCTGAATATCTCTTTATTCCAAATTCTGAAGATGAACCTGGAGATAATGGGGCATTTAGAATTCCTTTATAGAAACTATATAGCATCTTTGAGGATCCCACTGTGCTAATGATTCACACATTTAAGTTGCAGTTGTGGTGCACAGCCTAGGGACAAGTTCAAGTAGTAGCGTGATGTTAACGTACATTAAAATCTGTGAATATTTACAGTATTTCTTTCTCTGCGTCTTTTCTCTAGGCCTACTCTGTCTACGATGAAGACATTGGGTACTGTCAGGGACAGTCCTTTCTTGCTGCTGTATTGCTGCTGCATGTAAGTAATTTTCCATGTGATAAATGGCATGGTGCTTCCAAGTTTATTTTATTTTCTACTTGGTTTTCTTCTTCCTTCCCATTTTCCATTTATCTGATGGAGATTACACATGGCATGTCTTTTTTAAAATGTACCTTTGGTGATAAAGTAAGAGATCTGATGTCAAGTACAGGACAGTTTCTCAATTGAATTAATATTGCTAGCAAGAAGGGAATAAATTGCTTATTTGGAGTTATTTTTAAAGAGAACCCTCTAGAAATAAAGAAGTCAGTGTAACTGCTCAAATATGAGCAGGACTAGGACCATTATGAAGGACTATGGCAAGGAAGTCTTCTCTTTTCTGCAGTTTATTTTTGTATACTCTCTTTCCTCTCAGTCACCTTCATTTAACAGAACATTTATTGATCATTGGTCTGTCAGTGCCGGGCTAGGAAGTGCAGTTACAAATATAAATAATTTATTATTTGTGTTCTGGAAGGCCTCATAGTTCAGGGTGGGACACCAGTACTATAGGCACATACTTATTCTTTTTATTCTTTTTATGTGTCTTCATGGATTTTTCTGACGGTCACTAAAGACCTTATAGTATGCTAAGTAAAAGCAATACACAGAGTAAGAGCACAGAAAGGAGAATTACCCAACCCAGCTCTGCCAGAACTTTCAGGAAAGACTTTCTGGAGGAGATGGTAACCTTGCCAAGACATAAATAATTTAGGTTGGGAAAGGGGAGGGGGGGAGTAGAGATAGCTAAACACGAACATGAACAAATGCATGGAAACACATAAGGGCACAGCATATAAAGGGAATAATATGAAATTACAGTTTTTGTTCAGTTACTGTCGGAAAATTTATGCTAGGAAGAGGTATGAGGTAAAAATGGTAAGATGGGCAGGGATCAGGGGTGCCTGGGTGGCTCAGTCGGTTAAGTGTCTGACTTCAGCTCAGGTCATGATCTCACAGTTTGTGAATTTGAGCCCTGCGTTGGGCTCTGTGCTGACAGCTCAGAGCCTGGAGCCTGCTTTGGATTCTGTGTCTCCGTCTCTCTGCCTTCCCTCCTCTCTCTCTCTCTCTCTCTCTCTCTCTCAAATAAATAAATAAACATTAAAAAAAATTTTTTAATAAAAAGATGGGCAGGGACCAAATTATAAAGACTCTAATCATGTCAAGAAATGTGGGCTTTATTCTAAAGCTAAGGAGGTGCCATTGATCCGTTTGAAACAAGGGAAAGATAGTGAGATGTTCATTTCAGATAAATTCTTCTTATACCTTGTAGAGGGTAATTGAAGGGAGCAAGCAGGAGCAGAGAGACCAGTTAGGAAATATCAGTCTAAATGAGACATGTTGAGAGCCAGAGAAAAAGAAGCAGAATAAGAAGCATGCAGGAGGCAAATTGGTTAAGTTTTATGGAAGGATTAACAAAGGAAGAGTCAAAAGTAATATGTCTAATTTTCTAGCTTTGGTGACTGAATTACTTGGATTTTTAGCTGAGAAAGAAAATAACATCCATTGAGATTGAATGGAGAAAAATGATTAGGAGTTGATGATGAATTTTGTTTTGAATTCTTTGGGTTTGGGATATTTTGGGGACATCTGAGTGAAGCTGTCCGCCAACCAGTTGGATGCTGGAGACTGATGCTGGGGGGAAAATCACTGCTGAAATCATGAGAGTAGATGAGATCATCTAAGAAAAATAGAGTAAAACAGTATAGAGCCCAAGAACTGAATTCCAGATGTTGAAAGGATTGATGAGGAGAAGGAATTCTTGGCGGATTTCTGATTTCCAGGAAGGAAGAAGCAGTGCCGTCACATGTGGCAAAGAGGTCCAGCAAGTTTAAAACACAAACAAGCATTTCTTTTAGGTTTGCATTCTGGACATGAAGAGCGATTATAGTAGATTCGTGGTCCTGATTCTGATAACTCGCTTCTAATGATGACAATGATGTATTGTAATAAATCACTTTATTTAACTTTGAGTTTGATATCTCCCTCCGTTGCATTATCATCTGTTTGTGGCCTTCTTGATCTTTTCCTTGTTATCCTCTTTCTTTGATTTCTCCATGGCCCATCTTCTTGGTATTCTCTGTGATAATCAAGCACTTCATGGCCACAAATTCCCAGGGCCCTTGTTCTGCTACAAAACCTACCTAGTGTCTAAAATAGCTCTCTAACACAAGAGGCTGCTGTAGGCAGTGACACTGATGTCTTCACCAAAGTTCAGAATCCCGTTTCTTCTAAATGTTTTTTTTTTTTTTAATGTTTGTTTATCTATTTTGTGAGAGAGCAAGAGAGCGTGAGAGAGAGCCAGCAGGGGAGGGGCAGAGAGAGAGAATCCCAAGCAAGCTCTGTGCTATCAGCACAGAGCCCAATGCAGGGCCCAGTCCCATGACCATGAGATCATGACCTGAGCCAAAATCAAAAGTCAGACGCCCAACTGACTGAGCCACCTAGGTGCCCCAGAATCCCTTTTCTTCCAAAAGGAGCCTTTATAATCACTCTGATGAGAAGCTAAACCTGAAGCCATGGGTGGTGAAACTTTGTCTTCTACAAAGTAATCTTTGCGTATATCATAGTTTAGCATTTTAGACCTGTAGTCCTATTAAACACGTTACAGTATATTGATTAAACTTCACTGAGAAGAACATCTTTCTGAGAAATCTGTTCTCACATTTAACAGAGGGTTAATTAAATATAAGTTCATATTTATTTGGAAATACCTTACCATGAGAAAAAGAGATAGTGACCCAAATAACTAGAAAGCTCAAAACCTAGAATTTTTTTCCTACATTATCTACCCTCATCTTAGAAGGGTCACGTAGCAAGCTTGCATTCTAAACATACTCACAAAGTTGCTTTCAAGCTGTATCACAAGATGGCTAGAAATTCAGTCTAGTTTCTCACACCTTGTATAATAACAATTATGCAGTTGTTGCCATGGCTTATAAAAATAACTGGAAATACAGAAATACCTACAGAATCTTTGAAGAAAGGGTCACTGGTATGCAGCATAGTGTTAATGAGAAGCATATTATTGTTGTTTTTAATTGAGAGTGTATGCAATGATTCTTTTAATCAGCATATTCCATTAAATGACCAACTCATCCATTAACCAACTCGAATAAGAGAAATCAACTGTAATTTTTTTCTTTTTCATATTTTTGCCTCTGTGGCGTAAGCAGGTAGAAGAATAAAGGCTAGCTTAAACAATTCATCAAATACGCTATCTCAGGTTCCAGGGAGATATGTTATTTGCTACTAACTAATTTTTTATCAGTTACATAAGCATTTGCTTCTTTTTGCTGCCAGCCATCCTTTGGCAGCTCCATATTAATCATTGTCAGAATCTGCTTCTTTTCGGATACGGTCTTTTCCTCCCCCATGGTCATTTATATTTCACAGTCACTGCCTAAGAGAAGGGAAGATCAAAAATGAAAATATGTTCGGGGCGCCTGGGTGGCGCAGTCGGTTAAGCGTCCGACTTCAGCCAGGTCACGATCTCACGGTCTGTGAGTTCGAGCCCCGCGTCGGGCTCTGGGCTGATGGCTCAGAGCCTGGAGCCTGTTTCCGATTCTGTGTCTCCCTCTCTCTCTGCCCCTCGCCCGTTCATGCCCTGTCTCTCTCTGTCCCAAAAATAAATAAACGTTGAAAAAAAAAATTTAAAAAAAAAATGAAAATATGTTCAAAAACAAAAGATTAGAATTTTTAAGGTTTTCCATTGTCTAAGTAATTTTAGGAAATAATTAATTTCTCTTTCTTGATACTTAGAAATTTCCAGATGCTTTGATAATAGCTTTGCAACTTGTAGTATTTTCAGCCGAAGAATTGTCTGTCACAGTAGATGCTATTATATCTATTGATAGAATTACAAGAAATTTATCATTTACGGTTGGAGAAGAATATTATGGCACAGATTGCTTGTAACCATTATAGTGTTCATGTGCCTTTGATGTTAAATATGCAATAATAATCAGTGATATCATCATTATAGTATTAGTCATTGCTTATTTGGAAATATGATAAATGATATTCTTGCATATATTTCATTCTAAATATCATATAAACTATTTTAAATAATTTTAACCCAGTATGTTTTACTACCATACTTCTTGTCAAGAAGTTTAAAAATTTTTTTTCATTGAACATACATTTTTTTTAGACCTTCAGAAAATCATGTTCCTTTTTAAGGTTAAATTAGCGTATATATACTATTAATGGCAAGCATGGAAGCTTTCCAACTATAGAAAGGATTATTTTTGGATAATCCAGAATGTTTAAAACTATTGAATTAAAAAAACTATGACTGGGCACAATTCCTTCAGAAACCAAAGGCTTTCTCTGACAAAGATATGCATACCCAGCAATTCCACTCCTAAATATATATTTTAGTCAAACTTATGCACATGCACACCAAAATTGTGTGTTAGAATTGTCCTCAGATCAGTGTTTATAACAAACACCTCAAACGTCTGCTGTTAGAATGTCTAATACTAGAATTGTAATTAGACATTAAAATGGAAAAATTGTGATATATTTAATAGAACACTATATAACAGTGAAATGAATGTTTTACACTACATAAATTAATGTGAATGAGTCATACAAACATAAGGTTTAGTAAGAAAGAAGAGTATACTTGGTATCATTTGTTATGTTTCCCTTTAGTGGAAAGTTCATAGCAGACAAAACTGAAGTCTATTTTTAGGATGCTACGTAGGTGGAAAATATAAATAACACCAATGAAGTGATTACTGATAAAGTCAGAATAGTGATTTCTTATTTATTTATTTATTCATTCATTCATTCATTCATTCATTCATTCATTCATTCATTTTTGAGAGAGAAAGAGAGCACATGCGAGCCCAGGGAGGGGCAGATAGAAAGGGAGAGAGAGAATCTCAGTCAGGCGCCATGCTGTCAGACTTTGTGATCTCAAACCGTGAGATCATGACCTGAGCCCAAACTGAGTCAATGCTTAACTGACTGAGCCAGCCACCCAGGTAACC